CCATATTTTGCTTTAGAATTTGCTGTATCTACCATTGCATGAAACAAAACTGTCACTAGAATGTTTTATCAAACAATTAATACAAAGTTATTAAACTTCTATAAATGTGTTCTTTTAGATATAAGAAGATATAAACTTACTTGTTTAATTTTTTAATGACTTCTGGTTGATATCTTTCCTGAAAGTTTGAATCAACAAAAATAACAAAGATTAGATTCATGGGAATTGTGAAAGAATAAAGCTGTGTGCAGACTTTTTAATGCATTATACTTAAATGTTCACTAAGACATTTGTTCTGGCTCTAGATGCTAGCACCTACCACTGTCTTGGCACCTACTCATTTTCCAAGCCTTTTTCTTGGACTTTCCTGTTATTTGAATTTGAGTCACCTTTCCTTTTTAATTATTGTCATCTATCAAAACTTTTTTTGCACTTCAACTACTGAATTTATTTTTTCATTTTTTTATTATTTTTAATTTCTCATATTTACATATCCATCCCCCCATTCCCTCACCCTCCCATCCTCCTATGTTCCCCACCTAACCCACCCCAACCTCCCCCTGACTCCTCCCCAGGGATAGTGAGGCCCTCTACCAAGGACCTTCAAAGTCTGTCATATTATTTGGGGGAGGGTCCAGCCTCTGGCTGGATCTGGGCTGCAGTAGTATCCCTCCATAGGGAATGGACTCCCAAAGTCCATTTGTGCTATAGGGATAAAGACTGGCTCTGTGTTAGAGGTCCCATAGACTCTCTTGGCCTCCTAGTTGGCACCCACATTCAGAGGATTTGGTTTGGTCCAATTCTGTTTTCCCAGCTTTATGACTAGGGTCTCCATTCTATCAGTAGGTCAGGTTCACTAATCTTTCACCTACTTTTATGATTAAAAATTATTCAGTCTTTTTTGCCTTTGCAAAGACAGGGTCCTGATTTAAGTGGCAATCATTTCAGAATGATTTAAACACAGTAGTAAATACTATCAAGTAGTCCTCATAAAACTGCATAACATAGTTAGAAATGTCAATTTTGCAAAACATTTAAGAAAACTACAAGGCATGCTATGTGATGCTTCTGTGTTATTTCTCAAGGTGATTTGCCGATAGACATTCCAAGTCCACCAGAACCCTCAGTTCCAGTGACCTTGCCTCCACACAACTGCACAGATGATGAATTTGTCTGTAGATCTAATGGTCACTGTGTTGGAAAGATTCAGCAATGTGACTTCAGATATGACTGCCCTGACAAATCAGATGAGTCATCTTGTGGTAGGTGAATTCCTCACTCCTGCATGTTTTAGATATGAAACTACTGTTCATATGATCTGTCCCTCTTCTGTATCTACCACACCCAGCCCAGATATTCCTATATTATCAAGTGAGAAGTACTTAGGAATGGATCGCTATAGTAGACTTGAATTGGTTAACTCTTTAATTTTTTTCCCTAAGCAAATGCACACAAAAATGAATAATAATGTAGGGAATTTGTTGATAGTTCCAAAACAGAGAAAAATACATGCTAGCATAATCTCAGCATTTTGCAGCCTGTCAGGGAGTTTTCAAAATGTCTTAGGGAAGTTTATTCTTTTATGATTTATTTATATAACAATTAAGCTACAGTATTCAACATACATTTTTTTCTGTTGATCTGAGTAGGCAAATGTCTCCATTGAATACTTTAAATATAAAACTACTGTTTTCATAAATTGTACCTCTTCTGCATGCATTCTTCTCTTAGGCATTCCTGTATTACCAAGTGAGAGTTATTTAATATGGGATACTATACTATACTTTAATTGGATTAACTATTTCAAATTTTTCTTTAGGCAAATGCCCACAAAAATAAAGAATACTGTAGAAAATATTCTGCATTCTTAACAAGAGTAATTTTAGTACATGTGAGATGTGTCCCTGTCTTGGTAAAATACTGTTCTCATTATTAGCAGACAAATTCATATATCTTCTTAAGTGGATCAATGACAGAATATTGAATTTAAAATTGAACTTTGCAGTCAAAGATTCAGATGGAAGAAGCAAAATTAACACAGGCCTAAGAGGTGAAATACAAAGTCAGACAGAACAAATACTTTGCAGTATCTTTTCCTTCTGTGCTTTAAGTGACTGGTAGGTAAATTTACAACACGGCAGTATTGATGACAAGTCTTCATAATATTAATAATTAAAAACATACCATTGACACAAAGCATAGTGAAACCCTCATCTGTCTTCATCCGTGTGTCAAGAAGTTTAGTGTTTAAGCATTCTAGTAAGAGTAAAAGTTTTTCCCTTAAAACAGAAACAAAGTAATTCTTACTGTGTAACTATACCACAAATCTAGACTAAACTAGTCTTAAATTCAAAGCTGGTGCATTCCGTAAATGAGGTGTCTGTAACTGCTTCAAGGTGTCCTGGGATTTATATCATATTATGCATTACAAATGGAAGATAATTAGATGGAAGATGTGGCATTCAGACTTTCTCATGGGGAGCCACAAAATATATGTGTGCAATAACAGATATGGTTTACAGAAAACCTAACTTTGTACACATAATGAATATTTTTTAGAAGTACAAATTGTATGAAGCATTAGTATAAATAACCTTAATGAATAAAAACCAGGAGTCAGATTTTGGGGTAAAAGCCTTGAAGATCAGAGAACCTAGAGCAGCTGCCAGTTGCTTCCTTCCTATCTCATTTCTCCATCCAAAAGGCATGAGAGCCTGTCATTGGCCCACCTTATCACTTCCTCTTTCTGCCTCCTGAGTGTTGGGATTAAAGGCATGAGCCACCACTGCTGGCCTCAATGGTTAACTAGTGCCTAGCTCCACCCTCTGTCTCCAGGCAAGCTTTATTTGTCAGAAAACAAACAAAATATCACACAATACATGGTATTTTCAACTTTTCCATTTTGGTGTTGCCATTTATTAATACATGACATCTTATAAATTATTTGAAAATAATCAACAGATTTTTACTCATTTTTTATAACACAGGGTCCCTTTGATCTGAATACATAAAATTTCCAGATACAGAATATGATCTTCATTGTCTATATCTTTGTAAGAGGAAATATTATAATAAAATTGTTTATAATTTACAGGTTTAAGATCTCTAATATGTATTTTTAAAAGTTGTGTTATGAACATGTACCATGACACCTTCATTTAATTATGTTTTCATTTTTATTATATATTATTGTTGACTGTAACATGTAGTATAGCAGATCTCTACCTTGTATTCTGTTCATTGATATTTTATGTGAATTATTTTACAAGTGAAAATTATTATGTCAACAATGTAAAGAACAGTTATTGAGCCCTAAATCTCTTCACAAGGTAAATACACACAACATATATTAATGTCTTAGTTTAACAGCAAAATACCATGAATCTCTGTACATTTTGAAAAGGGATATTTTATACTTATCATGATAATAATTATATAAGCATATATTTAATGTATTCAACTGTGGCATACCATGACTATTAATGCATTCAGAAAATGAGTCAGTGTCATGTTTTCTATAGTACACATTAAAAACTCTTTGAATTGATTTTATTTTTACTCAAGCAATAGTGATTTTAACATAGATGGATACATGCACACATTCTGCAAGATAAGGAAGAGAAAAAGGAGAGAAAGACAGAAAATTTAGAAAGCATTTTCACATGAAAATCATTGAAGTTCTAATTTCTTATTTCAGAATACACTCATTACAAGAATCTTAAAACTTTAAAGGTAATAAGACAAATATAACTGTTATTGTAAATTATATTGCTTTGAAATCTAATGATTTTTAATTTGCACTGACATCTTCAGGGACTAAGTTGAAGTTAAGCCATATATTACCATGGACAAAGAAGAGTCAACAGGTTGGAGCTTGAAGGTCATTCAGGCAGCAGGAATGCCAACTGGGCAGAAATGGAAAATACATGCTCTAGGAGATAATTAACATCTCACCTCTTAAACAGAGCACACTACTAATATATGTATTAATTCCCATATTTTACTTTCTATGGAGATTCAAATAAAAATGAACCTCAATTTTAAATACTTTCCTTATAACTATATAAAGCATTTGCCTAAATCTTTGTTAGTGCTTAAGAGTTACAGTATGGAAACTAGGGAGATGGTTCAGATGCTAAATTGCTTGCCCAGTAAGCATGGGAGCCTGTGTTTGATGTCCAAAACCCACAGAAAGGCCAGGTGTGACTGCTTAGTCTTGAATCCCAGAGATTCAGAGATAGGAAAGTTAAGATTCACTGAAGCATGCTGGCCAGCTGTCCTCACCTAATCCATAAATAACAGGATAAATGCAAGATCCTCCCTCAAAATAATTAGTAGAACAGCACCTGAGAAGCAACACACAAATTTGTGGCATACACCCACAGGAACACATACATACATACACAGATACACACACAGATACACATACACACACACACACACACACACACACACACACACACACACACACACTCACACACAGAGATACAAACACACTTTCATAGATACACACACACACACACACACACACACACTCACAGATACAAACAGACACAGATACACAATAGAGATACACATACTTTGTGGCATGAGTTTTAAAATCCAGTATAAGAAAGAGCTGCAGAGTATAAATTGCGTCTTCCTGGCAGGTTCAATGCATTTAGATAATTTTGTCTTTGCTCTGTTTTATTCAAGTTCTGGAAGTTTGTACATTTGAAAAGAGAAACCTATGTAAATGGTACCAGCCGAATCCAGCAAATTTACTCCATGACTCAAATACATTCAGGTGGGGACTCGGTAACGGGATAAGTATTCATCATGGGGAAGAAAACCACAGACCATCAGTGGATCACACAAAGTAAGTGGCTATGTATTTTCAAAGTGTATCTTAGGAAATATTGCTGTGACCCACCTTATCAGTGCTGCTGTAGAGATGAATGGAGTGTCCATGAACAAGAGGTTTGAGTGTATTCTTTCACACTGAACCAGGAAAACAAAACTTATAAAGCAAATGGGGCTGGCAAGATGCCTCAGTGGGGAAAGGCACTTTCTGCTAACCATGAGGGTCTGAGCTCAGTCTCCAGGACACAAATTGTAGAAAGACAGACCAGATCCCACAAGTTGTGCTGTGATTTCCACAGATACACCATTTTATGAAAGCATCTATGTGCAGACATGCACATATGTACACACAAAATTAAAGATACACATACACACACATACAAATGCACACATACATAATAAAAGTAAGGAATGATTTTGAGATTACATTGAAACTAGATGTTAACAGCATTAAAGTAAAACATGTGCAATTTTAATATCTCCTCTCTGTGAGAAGCTTGGGACTTTGTTAAAGTATTTTTATTTATTTATTTATTATTTATTTTTGCCTCTACCTATGGCCTTCAATATTCTAGTCAAACATACTGACATTGAGCTACACTTGTAGCATGAAAACTACTGCTAATATTTTTTTAAAGTATTGAGGCTGATGAGATATCTCACTTAGTAAAAATGTCAAAGAAGCAGACAGGCAGAACTTTGTGGGACTCTGGCCAACCTGGCAAGCCTACTTGGAAAGTTCCAAGCTAGGGAAGAACTTGTCTCAAAAATAAGGTAGATGGCACTTTGGTAACTCTAGGCCTGGGATCTGCAGGCAGGTCAACTCCCCCAGAAGCTGACCAAGCAACCACAAGTCTGATGACATCCCTAGACTACTCCTGCCCACAACCAGGGCAGAAGTGAGCTTTGCCCCCTGCCTTGAGCCTGACTTCTGTCTTCCCACTTTGGGAACTCCAGGCCTGGGATCTACAGGCAGGCTGACTCACCCTGGCAGAGAGCCCACCTGCACCCACTGGAAGAAGGATGGGAAGATGGCAATATAAGAACATATTTAACAACAGAAAAAACAATATGACTACAGTCTAGGGACTCTATGCCAGCAAAACCTGAACATCCCAATACCAATGAAGCAAAAGAGAACAACCTTAAATACAACCTCATGAAGATGACAGAGACCTGTAGGGGAAGCTGTAGCCACGCCTTCTTAGGGGCTGGCTACAGGAGTACCTGAGGGCTTGTGAGGGCGTGGTCAGAGTGAGTAGGGGGACTGCGTTTTCGGTTTCTCTTTGCTTCTTGCTGTACAGACTACCACCGGCTGGCTGGTTCGCTCTGTAAGTAAGGCTTTTCCCTATTAAATACCCTTATATTTCTACCTGACTCCGTATTGGTAATTACCTACTATATCTGGTTGTCAGAAGTGGGATACGAACATTTTCTTTCTACAGGACCCCACATGACTATCATCGTCCCATTTCAGCAGGAAGTAACTTGGAGAATGCTACGCCCCCTTTCCCCATTGTTGTCACTTAGGATAGTGTATATACCTAGTTAGGAATAGCTTCCTATTGTTTATGGTTCGGTTTGGAAGGAGGTGTTCAGGCTTGGACACCTCTTTCAGATGACTTTAGGGTTTAGTTAAAATAGATAGTTAGGA